CGGACCAAAAATGAAACAATTCAAAATAGGAAATGTATTTATTTCGGAAGAAAAATAAATTGAAAAGAAAAAATGTATGGCATTACACACACACACACACATATATATATATATGAAATAGTTTTAATTATAGCAAATTATAAGAGGAATATTATGGAACAGACATACCACACAATGCAAGATAATAATTTATGAACTGTATTTTAAATGGCTTTAACATTTAATGACGAATCGTGTGCCCATACAGAGCAACAAAAGAAAAATCTATGAAATGAATGAGAAATTTCTAAAAAGTACTGATGGAAAGAACATGAAGCAACAGAATTATAAATGCAGCTTTTTGAGGAGTCTGAATTAAAAGTCATTAACAGAATTCAATGACAGGACTACAACAATTTGCCATGCAAGAAGATACTGAGAACAATATTACAATTAAAATATAAGGAAAGAAACCTATGAGACTACACACAGTAATATTTCAGGCACATATTACAAGACATCAAGAAAAGAGTAAAGAGCTGACAAAAAACTGAAAAGGACAGATTATAATAAAACTGAAGAGACTGTATATTTTCCATCCATCAATCCATACAAAAAGAGGACTGAAGCTTGAAGAATAAACTATATATGCATTTTTCAGATATTTTAAAAGGTATTTAGTACACTCATCATGAACCAACTAGCTGCCACTAATGTCACTAATTCTGCACAACACTGACAATAGCAAAGTGTTTATGAGCACTAACCTGTGATGTCGATTAAGATGTCCTCCATTCAGATGATGCCCTGGGGCAACCCCTTTATTTCGACGACTTGGAGCAGAAGGTGACACAGAGAGAACAACTCCTGACTGTTGTCCAGACTTATTGTTCACACCCTCTACTGCTTCTTCCAAATATCCTTGATATTTCTGTAACTTCTGTCGCAGCTTGTCCAACTTGTGGCCACTCTCATTTAGCTGTCCTTCAATGGACATGGGATCGCCTAATGCAGGATTCTGCTCATACACACCCTTCATCTTCATCAAGCCATCTCTGAAACATCATCATTTCAAAGCTGGTCACATTGTGGGGAAATCAAAAGAACATTCTACAACTAAATTATTATAAATATTTCCATAAAACCATACCTCCAGTTTCACGATTTAATGCTTTCCTAGTGCGGACAAAGAGGACTAAAACCTCTGGTTAGGTTTAACATTCTATTATTATTATTATTATTAGAGGGGGTGGGTTTCCCCATGCACTTAGACCAGTTATTGGTCAATTGTGCATCCCCCTTTAATTTCTACTGTCGCCATACCCTATCGGCACTGGTGCATGCTATCGGCCCCGTTCAGCCAACGAGGTCAGCCGTCAGTACCTGATATTTCCCCCATCTACCAGACGCATTGGAAACTACTTGGCCAGGAAACTTGCCTAATTTTGCTAAGAGGTCTCCTAGAGACATGAGGATCTTTTACGTGCTGTAAATCTATGATATGGGACCCACGGCTTAAAGTCCCTCCCGGAGGACTTGTTCCCTGAATTTTTCCGCCCTTAAAAATTCCACGACCTCCGCTGGGTTTGAACCCCTCGTACCCTGAGTCATGAGGTGGGAACATTACCCCTAGACTACGGAGGCCGCTTCTGAGGTCCTAGATTCAAATCTAAGCCTGGAAGTCACCTATGTTGGCNTTAATAGATCTGATTGTATTAGTATGAAATAAATTTAAATGACACAATAAAGCATAAATATTGCATTAGTTCAATTATCTGTGACATTACAGGATATGGATACCGGTTTATATGAATGTTCAAACTTCGAACATTTCTAAAATTAATAAGGAAACGTTGAGAAACTCATGTCTTGGTTCAGGAAAACAGAGATGGCAAATAAGAGTACATGGCTACTTAAACGTAATGTATTTCACTAACCACAGAGCTACATTTTCTTGCATAATTTATTTAACAGCAAGTATCTGCAAACACTACGAAAATAATGGAATAAATATCCACAAACAGAATTCCTAGGTCAAGTGAAGATTTAATAAACCTGGAAACTAATGTATTAAGTGTGCACATACAACAAAACCATGTGCACTGGATATACATGCTGTGGACTATTACTATCTACCCCGTTCTTTTCAATAATTGTGTGGCTGTAAACTTAACGTTCATCTAAATGGGATATGAAATAAAATGTTAAATTATTCTCACATGCAGACCCATTGCTAGGAAACAACCACGAAATAAGCAGCTATACAACAGCTGTTACTGAGCAATGGCCCATGGCAACAGTTGTAAACAGCAACAAAGGAAAGGTGTTTTCTGTGTAGTCCATGCTCAGATGTTATAAGCAGGACAGTTATTAAGAGTCAGTCAGCTGAAAGTAACTGGAAGTTAAAGCCAGGGATAGTTTGGGAACCCAGAGGAAGGGGAATGTCCGCTGTTGGAAGCTGCTGCTGAGCGACGGCTAGTGGGGAGACCACTGTTGATTGCTGAATATAGAAATTTTGATATACATGCAATGTATCTCGAAAAATGTTAAAACTTGTGGGAAAAGTGTAAATATGTAAAGCTATCTCTCTAACAGGCTAGGGAGGCCAATGGGGTTGTAAGACTACTATTCATAATGTTATATTTTAGCATCCTGTTGCACTGATTTTCATCCATGATATGTATACAGTGGCCATCTTGCAGTGCACTCAATTTCACCTGTTACTTCACAACATGTTTCAGCTACATAGTGCCATCATCAGGTGTCCCAATTACGTCAATCTATTGCATTGCTTGACCTCATATGTTTTCACAACACCATTTAAAAAGTATTTAAAAAGTCCATATTTGTCAACTATGATAAATTTACACTCGCTAAAACTTGTTCAGATAATTCATCTTATTTGTCTTAATTAAAACTTGCATGTGGTTCGTTCATTACGGGGTCGTTTTTCTTATTTTCTGTGTAAACCGCGTCTTGTGATGTGTGTTCCCTTCTTAGTATTTGTCAACTATGATAAATTTACACTCACTAAAACTTGTTAAGATAATTCATCTTATTTGTCTTAATTAAAACTTGCATGTGGTTCGTTCATTACAGGGTCGTTTTTCTTATTTTCTGTGTAAACCGCGTCTTGTGATGTGTGTTCCCTTCTTAGTATTTGTCAACTATGATAAATTTACACTCACTAAAACTTGTTAAGNAAGACGTCGAGGTTCCCACATTTTCTAGACAATCAGCTCACAACTACACTACACTACCACATGCCCCTGGAAAAGGTGTATTTAATATAAAAAATCTGTTTCATTTTTTTTCCATAACTTTTGTTTGAAGCAATTTTTGCTCCAATAAATATTTAGTAAGTTATACTCGAGATATGAGCAGCAACATGTATGTCTTCATGTGGAGTGTGTTATTTTTGTCAAATTTTATCCACACTTACAATGTGTTTATAAATTTTACTCCAACTCCCCAAAACCGAATTTCATAGAAGTCCATTCAGAGGTTCTCCATTTGTTTCATGTCTATGGGTGGGCAGCCTAACTGGCCTAAAATCTGCTTCCATGTGTCTCTGATTTCCCAGAGGGAATTTCATATATCCCACACATCATACCTTGCAGCAGTCTCTTGCTGAATCTTGGCTGTGATATCTTCTACTCGTAACTGAAGTTTCTTCTTCCTCTGGTTAGGTGGAAGATCACTGTAGTCCTCCTTGTTTTCCCCATATGATGAGAAGTTGTTCTGCAAACACCACTCACAATATATCACAAGTTCATCAGATATCCCCAACACTAACACCACTGTTTTTATAAAATGATACACACAGTCTTCAATAGCCCACAATTTATATTATTTAGCTTTGTATTTAAAAATGCCTCAACTTCTATATCAAATTCACTGTCCAATACCTTGTTCACTATATTTTAGTAACACGCATATATTCAAAAACCTTTGGGGATGACTGGCTATATAAGGGTCTTTGGAGAAATCTGAAACGCCAAATTTAAAATGCAAACATAAAAATAAGTGTTAACTGTACAAGAAATGTCACTTTTAAAACATGAGTCTCAAAACTATAGTCCGGATACTGACAGCATCATAAAATACCCATCCATAAAAGAAGAGAGAAGAAAGGGGAGTGACTGGAAAACTATTTTCTTGAGGATGAACCATTTTCAAGTTAGACAGCATTCTTCATTTCTTCTCCCAACTACACATGAGTTCATAATACATGTGATATTACAATATCCTTCCAATCTTTACCTAAATGTGTATGAAACTGCAAGAAAAGGAATGGCAAAATCTGACAGACATATGAAACCAAATGCAATATTTGAAACACCTAAAAAAATTTACTCTGCACATAAAACTATGTAAAGACAAAACAAGTGTGAAAGTTATCACGCTACATCACTTCACTCCACTCGAAGCTAGCCATGCAGAGTAACATGCCACTGAATCCACAAAAATGATCACTCATCCCAACTGTTACTGTGTCATATCTTTCAACTTTTATCCATTACTTATAAAGGTATTAAGTACCTTTTAGAGACATGTACATACTAGAAGTTCTATTAATTGCAACAGCACACAAGCAATTACTTTGCCCAACACCATAGCTGAATATTTGAAGGTCATATGGAATAGCAGACAATTGTTTAATCTGTCAATTCAGTTCATTTGGAAGTCTGAACAATCAGACTGAAAGCATTAATTACTATAAATTATAAAACAATAGCAAGGTCAGAGAAAACAAAAGTTTATAACACTTAACTCTCATAGTCACACGAAAGAAATGTCTCAAAATTCTTTCATATGCATTTATGCTTGTGAACAGACTGACTGTCCTTTCTTACTTTCTCAAGTATCAGTTTTATGGGTTAATTATAAGAATCTCCCCAGGGCTGTTATAGATTTAGTAACTGTAACCATAACAATTTAAATGATTTCATAAATGTAACCAAGAAGTACTAATGATAGCTGTTTAAACAATAATTTTGAATTAATTGCTTTCAATTTACATCTGTCTTGTATCCTTTAAATTTTCATACATCTTGACTTCTCAAGACAAAACTATTTTTTTTTAATGTTGAACTATATGCTCTATTCCATTTCATATGAATTCTTAAAAACTACATACAATATTTCTTTTCACTGAAGCTGCTTTCAATGGAATGTATTGGGTTTACACTATTAAAATGCAAGAAGTTATAATCTCTAGCATAAAAATAAATTTGTATATTATTTAATAAATAATTATAAAGTAATCACAAAACATATCTTTAGAACTGCAATGAACAATATTGAAGTTAGCTGCTGAATGTCTGCACTAATGAACTAGATATAAAGGCCCTGTTTCTCATCAGTGTGTCATTATCATAATCTTCACCAGTTGAATATGTAACTAAGCATATAAAGTTAAATTTTCACAATAAAATAAACAAAAACAAGGCAGAACAAAATCAGAAAACAAGAACTTCAACTGCAGTATACCAGTCCTAGATCTCTTACCGCTATACTATAATGTAACTCTCAATTAATTTTGAACTGAGAATCAAATATCCAGCTCAACTAACATACCAAAATTCTCTTCATCTATCACTTGATGAAGGTGGCTGTACAACACAGCTGTCAAAATGTTTACTACATAATAGAACTATACAAAGCAAACAGAAATAAAATGCAGTGTTTTGTCACAGAAAGGATATACTTCAAAGAATATTTTCCTGTAACTATTACTGAATTCCAAGAACTTTAAAGAAACCTACCTTGAAAGCAATGCACACTTCAATGAACTTCTGAAAGCATGTAAACAAGGAAGGACGGTATATATTCAAAGTTCTACGAAGTCACAAAAATAAAGTGGACACAGCTACGCTACACTTGACTTTGGATGCTATATACCAGCAAATTTGTAAGCAGCACAACACTCACATCAACAACAATCTAAGACACGTGCAATGCAAAACCTGATAAAATTGTGTGTCTTGATGTTTATAAAACTATTTCACTTCAAGAATTTGTACAACTGTATTATTCCACACTTTAACTCTGGCTTGCAAGAACTGTGATTTTTAAGGATGCAGTCCTTAAAGATGTAATGTTAATGCAACACAAATGCATACAGTTTTTTTCTCTTTCTTGGGGGGAGGATATCAAATTTTGAAGTTCTGGTCAGTAACCATGTAAATAATGGTAAAGCTTTCCAGCTTGTACCAGTGATTTCCATAATCAAACCTGCAGCAGTAATTCCAAGAGGTAGCACACTTACTTTCCTATACGAAAAAGAAGACATTTGAAACCTCAAGTTAAAATACTTCTGCTAAGAATTATGACTATGATTCTTACTTTCCACCAGTGAGGTCTATGTGTGGATGTGTGCATTTTAAGTTTTGGCAAGAGTATTTTTTATCTACTTATTCCAAGTAAAGGAAAATATAAAGAGCCCATCAAATCATCTTACTTACATCTTAAAATATGTGGTTTCTAAAACTTGATTGATCGTAGAGGGAGATCCCCCTTGAAACCTTAATCCTTATAACAGTATTATAAACAAAAGCACTCAATTACAATTTACAAAAATAATTTTACTATGTATGATTTGAGGTTCTCATAGTGGTGTATATGAAGAGTTATATTTTCCTGGATAAACAGTGTGCAAGTGAAAGTCTGGGAGGCAATGTGTTTCTATGAATCTAGGTTGACTTTCACCTGAGTACATGGTGTTATATCCAAGCAGATGGAGATCTTCATCATTTTACCAGATATTTTCAACAGCAACTAAATGTTTCAAACTTAACATTATTAATTCATTAGCTACTCATATTACAGAATTCAGCAAGCATTAATTTAATATTAACTTGAAACTGAAGCATTCTGTTATGTTAAAATATATATTTCCCTCGTCCATTTATGTAAAAAGGTCTGATGATGGCACATACATTATGCAGACAAATGTAATCTACATCTGACATATTTTGTTCTTTAACAGAAACACACACAACCTTATTAATTTAATATGTTCCTTTCACAGAAAACTGTCCCAAATCTATTTCACTCCTCACAAACACTTTGAAGTTGTAGCAACGCTAAGACAAATATTGAATATCATGCTTTATCCATTTCTTCATGCTGAAAGAAGATGCTAGGATGTGGATGCATTCAAAATATGTAGTTATTTTACTTTAAAAGTGCCAATATTATCACCAGGATTTACTCTCCATGCCAATAACACCACCCCATGACTGGGGAGTTTGATATTTACTACCATTAACACAAATCATGCTCCCACCAAACCTGGGAACATCATTTCTCTTACTCTTGAATTAATCCATAAGAATGATAAGAATATAAGGAAAAAATAATTTTCAAAATATTGTAACCCCCACATCTATTATGTGTGACTTATTCACGTATAAGATTACAACTTTATTTTAAAGCCAATATGAGATCTAAGCAAATCATACATAAAATAATCACATTTATGGACAGTTTAAATTTTGTGGCAGTTAAGAGTAATAGCTAACAAAAACATTCCAGAAACAGATTGTAATGGTTCACTACTTACATGTAGGTGTGCCACAATTAATGTTCTGGTTACAAATTTCCTCAAACATTCCTTACACTTAAGCAAATATGATGTACAACTACGAGATGAAACAAAAGCACAAAGTGTAGCAATGAATACATACAAAAACAGTCTTTTACTAAAGCAATCTTTGCTCAATTATTTTTCCTGATCAAAAGAACACCAAGTGTAAATAGCAATGGAGTATCCATCCTGGTATCCCCCATTCCTTACTGAAATATGCAACAAGACATGCCACACTGTCAGGAGCAGAAAGAGCAGTGCAATTTACATTTGTAGTACTGTCTGGTGACAACACGCCCAACATAATGTTCTGTCGGAATGTTTAGCACTTCTGCTTTACATCTGATAGGTTTCAAGTTCAAACATCAGCTTGGAGAATGCCCATCCTGACTGATGGTATTCCTGGATTTCCTCAGTCCCTCTAAAGAAATGCTGGGTTAATACCTGAAATCTGGCCATAACTGCCCCCTTAAATGTCCTGTGCAATTTGCTGTTCAGTATGATCCTCGCATTTGACAGTCTAAGCTATGACAGCATCATTAAATAATCCATAAACAAATACATTAAAAAAATGTTTCCTAGGCAGCATAATTACAACTATGGAGAACTCATAAAGCCTATGGTACTAACATCATATTTAGATAATTCAGTTTTATAAATGAACAATCAAGTGCAATTTAATTCAACAGTCAATGTGCTGGGCTTAAACATATGTACAAGGCTCTAAGATAAAAATCATACTTCAGAATTATTTCTTCACAATTTGCAATTGTAAATAATAGAGCTTGTTATTACTGTTGCTGCTGATCATCATCATCATCATCATCATCACAGTTGCTGTCATACTCCTGTGAAGAACTTATGTACAGAGCCTGTCCATAGTAAACTTGATAGACATACCTACAAAGTTTCACACCATCACCAGAACTATAACTGGTGTCTTATAAACAATATTATATACATAATTTATAAGAATATTACAGTATATTTTCATATACAATTCCATATTCATAGCTCTAATAGCTTATTAATTA